GGCATTTGTGTGGAGACAACCCCAAAGATTCAGACAGGAAGGAGGTGTGGCGATCAGAGGACAGAGGATGTGGTTGGGGTGGGATGGGAGCAGTGATTAGGAACAGAGATGGATCGTGAATGACCTTGAATTTTCAGGCTAAGAAACACGGACGTCATCTGAGGGACATCAAGGAAGGTTTTTAAGTAGGAGAGAGACATGACTAGATTTTGCGTTTTAGAAATAATTACCAAGATAGCAGTGTGGAGAACAAGGGGCAAGAGACAGGAAGCAGAGAGAACAGTGACAAGGCTGTTGCAGTGATTTCGGGAAAGATGCTGAATGGCCAGGATCAGGGCCAGCAATTGCAATGAACAGAGAGGGGCATATTTTTAGGAAGCTTAAGAAATAAAAATTATAGAATCACCAAGGAGCATTAAAACGTAGTTGGGACACAGAGAATGAATATTATTTCCCTATTTTTAAATTTACGTCACTTCACATTTTGGGAAATGGCGGCGCTCGGGCGTGGATATCGGTCCCGGGCGGCAGGGAGCTGCAAGCGGGTTCTCGGGCCTTTTCAGACCCGGCTCTAGACAGCTGGGCAGGCGCGGGGCGCGGAGCAGTGGGGCCTGGGTGCTGCCTGGTTCTGCCCGGTTGGGCCCTCGGGCTGGAAGTGAGCTTTGCGCGCCATCTGCTTTGCAGTCCTTATGTTCTGGCCTTCTGCATGACGCTCCCACCCATCCCTGTACCCTCGAGGGCGTCGATTTCCTCTCCCATCCAGTGGGGACAGCCACTAAGTAGCGTCATAGGATAAGGGCCTAGACCACGACCTTGGGAGCTTGGGCTCCCCTAGTCTGTGAAGCTTACGGAGTTAACTTTCTCTTCAACAGCAGCCTTTCAAGAACGTGAGATAAGGCTGCCTCTCACCTGGCCCCAGCACTTCGTGGTTAACCACCTTGTCCCCAGGCTCAGACAACCTCTTTTCTCATCTGTGTTGAAGATGGATGTCTTCATAGGTTATTTGTTCCTGATAATACATATAGGCATTTCCATTTACTAAGTACTGTTTTTCCCTACTCACCCCTTCCTTACAGCCCCTCTTCATGTCAGGGAGACTTCATAGCTTAGCCTGTCCAATTACGAAGGCAAACTTTCCCTAGGTTTTGTTAGCTGAGCTTCTAGAGACAAACATCTTTGGTGTTTCATCAAGTATTTGAGTGCCTGCTGTGTACTAAATACCGTATTGAATACTGCTGAGGACCCTAATGACTCAAATTGTCTTCTGACCATTAAATTCAGACTAGTGGGAAAAATTTAGATTTGTGATAGACAAATGTGCCACAAGAAAGGAACAGATGAAATGTTCTTGAAATTCAAGGAGCAGCAGCTAATGTCTTTAGAGAGGAGGCACTAGCACTTGTACAAACTGGAATCAGAGGGAGCAATTCCAAATGAAATGGCTGCAAGGCAGTTTGACAGCTCACTGGGCCCAAACAAAGAACATGGTTCATTTTGTTTGTGTGTGTGCAGTTGTGTGGAGACAGTTAATAGAGTAGAGGTTGTATAATATAGTTTTTTTTTTCCTTAGAGACAAGAGTCACATATCTCACTTTATTGCCCTCAGTGGAGTGCCATGACGTCACAGTTCACAGCAACCTCCAACTCCTGGCCTTAAGTGATTCTCTTGCTTCAGCCTCCTGAGTAGCTGGGACTATAGGCGCCTGCCAGAATGCCCCGCTATTTTTTTGTTGCTGTTTGGCTGGGGCTGGGTTTGAACCTGCCACCCTCGGTATATGGGGTTGGCACCCTACCCACTGAGCCACAGATGCTGCCCTTTTTTTTTTTTGAGATAGTCTTAACTGTTGCCCTCAGTAGAGTGCTGTGGGGTCACAGCTCACAGCAACGTAAACTCCTGGGCTTAAGCGATTCTCTTGCCTTAGCCTCCCAAGTAGCTGGTATTACAGGCGCCTGCTACAACACCAGGCTATTTTTTGGTTGTACTTGTCGTTGTTTTGCAGGCCCAGGCTGGGTTTCAACCTGCCAGCTCCAGTGTATGTGGCTGGTACCCTAGTTGCTGAGCTACAGGCACCAAGCCTAATATAATTGTTAATAGCAGGGATTTTAGCACATTTGCTGTGAGACTTCAGGGACATAACCTTTGAGCCTGTCAAATAAAGATACAGTACCTACTTCACGTTCAGAGTGGTGCATATTAAGCTATTAAGCCTGGCCATCAAGGTTGGCACAAAACTACCATTTTTTGAATACTATCAAGCATTATGTGATAGAAATGCTTTGGATGCCAAGATAAAGAACTGAGATATCAGCTCAGTGCCTGTAGCTCAAGAGGCTAAGGCATCAGCCACATATACCTGAGCTGGTGGGTTTGTATCCAGCCCCGCCAGCCAAACTACGATGGTTGCATGTGGCTGGTGCCTGTAGTCCCAGCTACTTGGGAGGTGGAGGCAGGAGAATTGCTTGAGCCCAGGAGTTGGAGTTGCCACAGCACTCTACCCAGGGCGACAGCTTGAGGTTCTGTCTCAAAAGAAAAAAAAAAAAAAAGAATTATCCTCTGGGCAATAGGGATCAAACATTTTTAAGCAGTTGTGGGCACCAATTAGAGGTACTAGGAAGGGACTAGATCCTGCCCAAGCCTGAAGCCACTGCAGTGGCTGCAACCCTTTCTTGTTTCTCTCACTTCCATCCAAACCTCCCTACCCTCAATCAATAAGCATTTCAAAGCCATGTTTCTAAAAACCAGCCATTTATATCTGTTTAGGTAAGTTACAGAAGGAATGAGGTGGTGTATTTACAAGTTGGTTTGCCCAGATATGCTATAACTTAGTGTCTGTATTTAATATTGACAACCAAAAAATATATATATATAAATATCTTCCATTTATACACAGCAGGGCAGGAGTGTCCATGTCTTCTTGAGCAGTGAGTTCTCAGCCTCCTACAGGCCCTCCTCTCATGGTGATAGTCTGGCCCTCAGTGCAAAGGAGACTAGAACCTGGCAGCCCAGTTTGGCCCTTCCCCTCTCCTCCCTGCACTCCAGTACTCCCAACTGGTCTTAGGCAAGGAAAGATTAGTTTTGAGTGGTTGGGTAGGAAGAGATGGGAATGGGCAAATTCTAATGGAGCCTGACCCCCTGGGCAGGAGACTCAGGCCTGCAGAAGGGGTGGCCATAGCCACCTCCTGGGGTAGAAGCGTCAAAGTTCATAGTTCAATTAGTGTATCCTTGGGTCATAGGTCCAGCCCTACAGATAGCTTGTTGAAGAAGGCAAGTGTCTGTCTGGACAGGGCTTGGTCCCCACCCACAGGTTCTGAGCCATTCAGAGTGAAGCCTGGGTGTGGGTACAGGAGACTCAGGCTGATAAAAAAATAGTAACAAAATCAGTTAATAAAAAAATTATAAAACCTGTTGCTTGTCTGGATAGATTTCAGCAACAGCCTTGCTTTCATTAAAATCCTGGAGTTGTTAAAAGTTCTGACCATTCTTCTAGACATCATTGTTGGCTGAAGAAAGTAGCCCCAGTCCCGGCTTGGTTGAGATCTGTCACTTTGGAAGTCTCATCCAGCTGCCTGTGCTCCCGAGAGCTTCTTGGGGCTGCTGGGAACAGGCCGGGCTGGTGGTGTGGGGGGCCTCACACTTGGGAATCAGCCCCTAAGGGGTGGAAGAGCTCCTCTGGTGTCTTGTCACTTTGGTTGGCTCCCCCCTGTCGGAAGCCGGAAGCAATTTCATCAAAGGTCCGGCCTTTAGTCTCAGGAACTTTGAAGTAGGTGAAGATGAAGAACAGAACCAGGAGAACAGTGAAGATGATGAAGACATAAGGGCCACACAGTTGCTGAAAGACACACAGATACATTCAGTTGGAATCATGACCCTATACCCTGCCTGTAGGACTTGGGATAAGTCACTTTATGTCTGGGCCTTTTATCTGAAATAGGGAATACCCACCTACTACCCAGGAATGCTAAGATCATGAAATGAGACTGTGCTTGCACCTGGCATGCAACAGGCTCTGGGAGCACCATTCAAAGCTAAGGAAAAAACCCCAGAGTTGAGGTCAGCATTCTCAGCCATGTAACCTGGGTTTCTAAGCCTCAGTTTCCTCCTTGGTATGATTCCTAATGGGAATGCTGGGAGAGCACTTTGTATAGCACTGTGGGGTCATGCATGCTGGTGAGAAATTGGGAGTATAAAGACAAAGGGGGTTCTCACCTCCACATACTGGAAGCACATGCCCACAATGAAATTTGAGGTCCAGTTGGAGAAGCCAGCGACTGCAATGGCAGCGGGACGGGGACCCTGGCTGAAGAGTTCAGCCACAATGAACCACGGGATGGGGCCAGGGCCCACTTCAAAAAAGGCCACAAAGCCGAAGATGGCCACGATGCTCAGATAGGACATCCAGGGAAGCTGCTCCTGTTAAGTTGATGGAGAGGGAGGAAAGTCAGTCTGGGCTGTGATGGATCCTGAGAAGATCCAGTGTACAGGCAGCACAGAGCAAGGCTATGTACGCACTATAGCAGCAGGCCTGGGGCTGACCCTGGACTTGCCATATACCTTGGGTACCCTGTGTTGGGTCCTAGTTTCCTCATGTGAACAAAATGATTTAAGTCTTGCAGGGTGGTTACAAGCTTGAGAGAAAGAATATGTTGTCAGCAGGAGGTGCTAAGGGGCCCCTATGATCCTTGGGGTCTGGCTGCAGAGCAATTTGCTTGGGGTCTGGCTGCAGAGCAATTTGTGGCAGGAGAGTGTTAGAACATTCCTTGGTGTAGGGTGGATTCATATTGCAAGGCTTATAAGGTGTGGCACAGAGTAGGCACAAGACATAGGGTTCTGAATATCAACCTCTTTGAGGCCACAGTAGAAAAGACAGAGACTTCGTTCAGATCTCAGATCTGCAGCTTATCACTTGCCACATGCCTGACCTCTCAGCGTCACTAGACTTTCCAAGTCTAGGTCCACGTATAAAATGATGAGTGGTGCCTTCCTTGCCAGAAAGAAAAAGGTCATTTTTTAGCTCATAAAGGTGATGATTGAGTCTTCACACGCACGTGTGAAATGTGCCTCCCTCAAACACAGTTACAACAGCAACATGTTACCCACCTGACATGGGAAAAAAACAAAGAAATAAATGAGTGTTTGTGCTTATGAGTGCCTGGCATAGAGTTAACACAGTGATGACAGTCACAGGCTTAGAGCCAGTAGACCTGAAGTGGATGCCTGGTTTCATCTTTTACCTGACATGTCACTAATCTTTTTTTTTTTTTTTTTTTTGAGACAGGGCCTCAAGCTGTCGCCCTGGGTAGAGTGCTATGGCTTCACTGCTCACAGCAACCTCCAACTCCTGGGCTCAAGCGAGTATCCTGCCTCCGCCTCCCAAGTAGCTGGGACCACAGGTGCCCGCCACAACGCCCGGCTATTTTTTGGTTGCAGCCGTTATTGTTGTTTGGCGGGTCCAGGCTGGATTCGAACCCGCCACCTTAGGTGTATGTGGCTGGCGCCTTAGCCGCTTGAGCCACAGGCGCCGAGCCCATGTCACTAATCTTACTGGGACTTAGTTTTCCCCTGCAAATAAAGGCTTTGAAAGGTTTAATACTGGGCAATTTCCTGGGGAGCTGAAAGTTTGGGGTCTAGGGCCAGAGATGCTGTGTTGAGAAGCCACCAAGCAGGGAGGAGCAAGTTCAAGACAGGATATGAGTGAGATGGAAGGAGACAACCTCTGGAGTCAGAAAGTCAGACCCATGTAGAACGAGAACAAGTATAGCCCCTACCTGGTCTGCTTTGGGATCTGAAGCCCAGGTGAACTGCCCCGATCCTCCCCACCCCCACCTCGCTCCCTGGAGTGTTGGTAACTCACCAGCAACGCAAGTGCAATGGTCATGAGCACGGCACAGCCTGCCATACCAGCTAGGCCTATGAGATGCAGGGTCCGCCGGCCAGCTCGCTCCACCACAAACAGCTGTGGGCAGAGAAACAGTCAGTACCACCATCCCAGCCTGGTGCCTCTCTGAACACACCCACCCAGGGGCTTGCCCTAATGGCCAGGAAAGACACTTGGCACTCAAAGACCAGTGGGGAAGAGGGTACTGCCTACTCCATGGGGCCCAGCGTGGAGGCTGGATAGGGGGTGAGGGCACAGAGCTGGCCCCAGAGCCCGATAGCAGTACATGGGGGAAAGCGGTGGTTCTAAAGAACCAGAAAGCTGAGCATCCTGGCTGTGACCTTGGGCAAGCCTTTTCCGTTTCATTTCTCTGAGCACCCATGCTAGCTGTGTGATGTGAGATGAAACTCACAAGTTGTTAAGAGTAAAGGGAGAAGGCACATATGGAGACATGACGTGTGCCTGGCTCCCAGCAAGTCTTGGCATTCTAACCTGAGCCGAACCCCTGCTGCAGACAAAGACTCACCGACACAACAGTAAAGGCCGTGTTGACGATGCCAGAGCCGATGGTGGCATACACAGGCTGCTGTACTCCTGCCTTCTCGAAGATGCTGGTGGAGTAATAGAAGACCTACCAGACAGAGAGACTGTTGGGGCTCAGCTGGGCATTGTGGCTTTTCCCTGCCTCTGCACCAGTGCGTGTGGGACCCAGGGTGAGTAAGGAGTGGAGGGCACAAGCACTTCTCTGGCTGAGGGACACTGCACTGCAGTGATCTTTTGGGTTTTGGTTCTAAAGAGAAGCTTCTCCGTTGGCAGAGGCATATTTGTTGTTTTAAGTTTGGGATTTGTTCAGAGCACACACTTGACCACAGGGGTTGGCTGGGGCCACAAAATGGGGTGGTGGTGGGGCACTCACAGCGTTGATACCCGACAGCTGCTGGGACAGCTGCAGCACCACGGCGATGAGGATGGGCTGGCGGTAGGCGGGTGAGCGGAACAGCTCCAGGATGGTGACCTTCTTCTCCCGCATCATCTGCCGACCCTCCTCTTTCATCTCCTGCAGGTCGTGGGTCACGTCGGCTGTCCCACGAAGCTTCTTCAACACTGGGGGAACCGGAGGGAAGGAGGGGGTGGTTCAGAGTGGGAAGAAAGCCGGGGCTCAGCCAGCAGGGAGGGCAGGGCCCTGGCCCATACCACTCTTGGCCCGGTTCTCTTCATTGCGGTTGATGAGCAGGAAGCGGGGGCTCTCAGGGCAGAAGGGCAGCACGATGCACTGGAGCAGGGCTGGGATGAAAATGATGCTCAGCAGCAGGGGCCACAGCTCCTCGTTTCCCATGATGGAGTCTAGACCGAACACCTGAGGGAGGTGGGGGCTGTGAGCATCCTGCAGGGGGCTGTCCCTGCTTTGTGTCACCTGCTGCCTCTGGAGGCTTCTCCACTACCCTCTCTGAATGTCAGTTTCCTCATCTGTCAGGTGGGCAAGCAGGACCTACTTCATGGCATTACTGGGAAGGTAAGTGGCAAGGCTAGAATGTGTCCAGCACAGAGAGTGGGGCTGCTACACTGCTCCAGGAGGATTTCGGGGGACGGGGACAGGGAAGCCTTCTGCAGAGAAGGCACAGTGTGCATCCAGGCACAACCATATGGGGTATGGGAGAGCTGGCATATATGGGAACAGCAAGTTCCCTGTGGTCAGATGCCCGGTGTGAGAGGAAAGGGGACGAGAAGGGTGGAGGAATCTTGCCCTTCTGCTGGGGTGGCCCAGGAGATTTGGACGTGGCAGTATGTTCCTGGACCTGTGTACCTCAGGCTGTCCCCTCACAGGGCTGTGGAAGCTGGGTACAAATCTAGTCAGAGAAGTTCTGCCCTACAGGACAGGTCTTGGAAGCTCGGGGCACCTGTAGCTCACCTGGGCAATGAGGATGCCGACAACGATGCCCAATTGGTGCAGGGTGCCCAAGGCCCCACGAAGGGCTGTGGGGGACACCTCCCCAACATACATGGGCACAAAGCCTGTGGTTAGGCCACAGTACACGCCAATGATGAAGCGGCCCAGGATCAGCATCTCAAAGGACCTGCCCAGCTTCGAGAAGCCCATGAGCACAGCAGACAAGAAGGCCAGCAGGTTCATCATCAGCATAGAGTTCCGCCTGAGGGAGAGGTGGAGGGTCAGATTGGCGCCCCTCAGGATCCCCAGGGGCTAGGTCATAGGTGAAACCCTGGAGCAGGCATGGGAGTCTCCCCCACCTCCCACCCACATCTGGGATGCCCTGGGCAAGGCCAGAGCCCTTCCTGCTCACCGGCCAAAGCGGTTAACAAAAAGGCCCACAGAGAAGGAGCCGATCATGCCCCCAACGGAGAAGATGGCCACAGAGAGGGACCAGAGTGTGGTAAGCGTGGTAGGCAGTATCTTCTCCCCGTATCGGTGGATCCAGGTCTGGTTGTAGAACTCCTCAATCACCTGCAGGGGAGAAGCAATGTGGGCGGGCAGCCCCTAGGATGTCCTCCTTATTTCCTTCAACCCTCACTCGGAGAGCCCTTTTGCTGGAGAGGGCCTAGGCCTCCTTGCTCTGCCACAGACTCGCTGCATGTTCTTTTTTTTAAAGAGATGGCGTTTCAGGGTGGCGCCTGTGTCTCAGTGAGTAGGGCACCAGCTCCATATAACAAGGGTGGCAGGTTTGAATCTGGCCCCCGGCCAAACTGCAACAAAAATAGCCGGGTGTTGTGGTGGGCACCTGTAGTCCCAGCTACTTGGGAGGCTGAGGCAAGAGAATCAGTTAAGCCCAAGAGTTTGAGGTTGCTGCAAGCTGTGACACTACGGCACTCTACTGGGGGCAACAAAGTGTGACTCTGTCTCAATTAAAAAAAAAAAAGATGAAGTTTCGCTCTGTCACTATCCTCCAGCCTTAGGCTTCTAAGTGGCTGGGAATACAGGCACATGCAATCTCATACCAGCTAATTTTTTTTCTATTTTTTGTAGAGATGGGATCTCACTGTGTTGTCTAGGCTGGTCTTGAACTCCTGGCATTAAGCAATTTTCCTGCCTGGGCTTCCCAGAGTAGTACCATGCCTGGTAATGTTCTTCAGCCATGACCCATCCCTTTTTGCAGGTCTGTTTCCCCAGGTAAGAAACAAAGGGTTGGGCTTCCTGCTGAGAGTGGCACTGGCTCTTCTACTCCCTCTCTACACCTCTTCTGGTGTAGTTTCTAGGCCCCCACAGTTTCACAGGCTGTACACGACTTGCTGGGGATATTGGCAAGGTGATCAACAGTGGAAGTTCAGGCACAGAGCAGAGACAGGTACAGAGAGAAAAGACTTCTTTCCACCTGCCCATTTTCTCTTCTTACTTTGCCCCAAGGCCCCAGGTGGGCCCCAGCTGTGCCAAGTCCAAGCCACTCTCCCCCCACAACCCTGCTGGGGAGGAAGCAGGGCTGGATGAACAGGTTCTGTCCTCCAGGAAGTGCAGACTCCCTGACTTTTGCACTGGAGGTGCAAACTCATGCATACCACCCTTCAGAAGTGCTCTCAAGACACAAAATTCCTGCTGTTGCTTTCTGTCCCCAGGCCCTAGCCTGGGAGCACCACTTTGAAGGACCCTGGCTCTACCCTTCTCCCAAGGCCTGGATGGGAGGTAAGGGGAAAGACTCTGGACAAGCAAGCAGTTTCAGGAACTGGAAACACCTGTCTCAGTATGGCCTGCCCACTAGTCCCGCCCCCCACCCCAGGGGGGAGGGCCTGGCCTGCTCCCAGGGATGTGGCAGGTGGGTAGTACTGGTTCTGCCTGAGGACACTCAGCATGCTCTCAGGCAACACAGACACACACCCAGTGCCATGGAACTGGCTAAACCCACCCAGCCACACATGTAGCTAGGCACAAGCCCAACTACCTAGAAATAGCTTCCTGTACACACATACCATACCACACAGACCCATGCTCAGATAACCTGAATACTCCTGGCTTCAGCCACTCACAGATCTACATGCCCCTCCACCCTCACCACTTGTAGTTCAAACTCCATTCCATGTGATGCCAACCCAGTGACCCTCCCTGGGTGTACACTGCAAATTCACATACACATAGCAGTGGGCAGTCTCTTCAGCCTCTGCCATCACTACTCTTAGTCTTCCTTACCCCTCCCCAAACCAGAGTTCTAGCACAAGAGGAGGATGTGGATGGCCACATTTGCCAAAGGGAAATCAAGACCCACAGTCCCAGAAATATCTACTG